CACAGTTTTGACTTGTATCTAAACTAGAAGTGCAGTGCTCTGATCTTTGAACAATTAAGAGTCTCAGAGCGAGTGGTTTTACTGACAGGAAACAACTGACGCACTGATGTGTCCGTGTCCGACCAACCGTCGGACTTTGGTCATGTTTCCATGCTCTAGTCTCTGTGCATATTTAGGATGCTGCCCATGGAGCTAAATGCAGCAGATGGATTTATTAGGTAGTAGGATTGGGTGTTAATACGGTATTACGTTGTCCCGCGGTCTCAAACAGAAGCAACGGTATCAGTTTCATTATTGTCATTTAAAAAATCTGCAGCGCATAAGGACCTGATATAATATTATAATTTGTTGATACCTAAGTTTGTTTGCTCAGCACAAATGAATGTGTGGTTGTATTTTCAATTTAATGTTATCATGATTTAAAACTAACAGTGTCTATAATGTTTTTTTTAACTGCGTGGGGAGATGACGTTTGATTAGTTTTGTTCTGTTGCCACATGATGCTCATAAGAGAGACCAAGACAAGACGGCAAGTCTTGGCCGCAAGCGAGTTGGTCCAAAAAAATAATAAAAAATACTAGTACTTCTGCAGTTTGGCAGCATTTTGGCTTCAGGCCACATTTGTTGAGATTTTACAGAAACAAATCTTAAAACCACATGGCTCATGTGCATAAACTATAAAGCTCTGCTAAAAAACCGCTCGCTCTTTGTGTGCTGATGTGGTTTCAGCTTCTGTCAGACTAAAGGACACGACTCAGTGGAATTTTTCTTTCTGTGGAGTGTTCTTTCTCTGACAGAGGATGTGCTGCTAATGGTGAGTCTGTTCTGTGTGTGTGTGTCGTGTTGGAGATGGTTCATGTGAAACTTTATAGAAATTATAAATCTTCAGGTCATAGGCATAGACTGTACAGCAGTGTGGCTTCGTAGCTTATTAAAGTCGTACTAAAACATTTTGGTAATACTGTAATGTAAACATATGCTCCGGTTAAATCCTGAGAAAGTTTAATAGTATAAAAATTTGGATACTGCCCAACCCGAGTAGGTAGGTAGCATGTTACCTATAGTTAGATAGTTAGTTAGGTATGTATGTAGGTGTTTGCGGGGGCACCACATGAATCCTCGCAAAAACGAATGTTCGTCACAGGCGTCTCCGGAATCACCGCCTGCTCCTCTCTGGTGCTGGCACAGATCCCTCCCCCTCTCCATCTGTGTGTAGGGCGCCCTGATGGCAGGCTGCAGCTCTGATGATAGGATATCACCTTAATATAATTTAGTTCGGAAAAGCGGATTGTTCGAAAAATAAAAGTTCGACAATGAAAATGAAAAAAATGTCAGAGTATTGGGAAGCTTGAAAAATAATGTTCATGCCGCTACTCCGACAATTACACGTCAATGTCTAAATGTCAGAAATGTGTCGTTATAGCAGCACGTGACCATGCACCAGTGTCTGTGAGCTGGTGCAGAATTACCCTGCCCCTGTTGTGTTGCATTAGCCTACATTTGCACTGTGCCTGAAGGACTCCGCGGCCCAGTGTGGCTCTGTGTGCGGGACAATGGCTCCTCTGTGGACGTGCGCGGGGCATTCTGAGGGCCAGAGCTCAGACATGTCAGACATGTCAGCCATGTGGGGCCACAGGGTCACGTCTTCATGACACAACACAAACAATACTCAGTCATTCAGTGCTCTGTCATTCTGTTCAGACGCACACGGGCTCCACGCTTTTGAACAAAAAGTCTTAAAGCAGCAGAGGTGGGACCAAGGCGTTGTTTTGCAAGTCTCAAGTAAGTCTCAAGTCTTTGACCTCAAGTCCCAAGTCAAATCCAGGCAAGTCCAAGTTGAGTCTCGAGTCACTGGTCCATAAGTCCAAGTCAAGTCCAAGTCGAGTCTCGAGTCACTGGTCCATAAGTCCAAGTCAAGAGTCTCGAGTCACTGGTCCATAAGTCCAAGTCAAGTCCAAGTCGAGTCTCGAGTCACTGTCCATAAGTCCAAGTCAGTCCTCGAGTCACTGGTCCATAAGTCCAAGTCAAGTCCAAGTCGAGTCTCGAGTCACTGGTCCATAAGTCCAAGTCAAGTCCAAGTCGTCTGCTTTGAGCTTCAAGTCATTTCAAGTCTTTAAACCAAAGAACCAAGTACAGCTTAGATTTTTGCAGTTTATATGATTTTTACTCTAAACTGTACTTAAAAAGTTGTAATATATTTGTATAAGAGTTGTAGAAATGCTCATGTTTCCTTTTTAAATGTCTTTGGTGTTAAATGTCTTTAAATGATTATGGTCAGAATAGAAAGAATTCAGATTTAAAAGTGCTTAATAACAGTTATTTTGTCATGTACTCTGCACTGAAATGGAAGGATCATGTTTTATGTTGTTCCCTGTTTTACTGTATTGTACTGGATAATACTGCATTGTACTGTAAATTACCGTAGTACAGATGAAAAAAAAGGTAGAGAGATTCACTGGGTCTTAAAAGAGTAAAAAACAACAGTGCAGGTGCTCTAACAGGGTTAAAAGAGCGGCAAAGTAAAGGACTTTTAATATATTCAGTCGGAGTGCCTCAGGTTTGTACTTTGCCCATTCCTACATTTTCCAGTAGCGGTAATTTTCTGTTCAAAGACTACTGTAGTACTTTTGAGGATACCACATCACAGTACTTAATTTCCATCCAAAGTAACAAACAGAAGTAGGAGCGACATGTTTCTGTTTTTTCCTTTAAAATTAAGTACCACATTTATCAACTTATCAACTAAAAACATAATTTTTTAGGAGAATCAAGCCTTTTCAAGTCACATTGCTCAAGTCCGAAGTCATTGACCTTCGAGTTCCGAAGTCCTAGTCCATTTTATCAAGTCTTAAGTCCCTGCAAAAAGTGACTCAAATCTGACTCGAGTCCAAGCCACGACTTGCAAGATAATTTTATTAGTTTTATACTTGAATTGGCCCAAAATGATTCTGGATTTCACTTTTAATAATATAACCCAATATAACGCCAGTAACATCACACTGTGTGCCCCCCAATTCCCATTTGTTTTAGCCCAGATTGAGTCTAAATATTATTAGAGGTGCAACAGTAACCAAAATATCGTGATATCATATCGTCAAAAGTCTCATAATAATATCGTGGACCATCACAATATATCGAATTACAAGTTTCTTTGCTTAAATTAAGAGTTATGGCGCAGCCGTAGCTAAAAAAAAAGACAGAGGGAACTACATAGACCATGATCCTTTGCTCCATTTCAGTGCAGACTACAAGAAGAAATAACAGTTCTGACACTTTTAAGTCTTAGTTCTTTGGATTAAGTCTTGTCAAGGCGTTTTAAGAGGAAAAAATCTCCACAAAATATCGCAATAAATATCGTACCGAGAGATTTGGATATTGTTACATCCCTAATTGTGCTCTTTCCCACGATATCGCAATAAATATCATAACGTGAGGTTCATACCGTGACAATATCGTATCGTGAGACTTGGATATTTAATTATTATCCTTGAACGTTTTCCCACAAGGACAGAACCTGCAGACTTGTTCCCTGTAGGTGACTTTAAATGTGGTCCGATCGCGGGGCTCTCGTATCAGATTGTGAGGAAATTGCAAATGCACTCTCTGATAGGTTTTAAGGTCGAGATAAAACATGGGTCCTGTTGCCACGGGAAACGCGGCGGCCAGATCAAAATTCTGATTAAAAATAAGTAAAAACAGAGCCTGAATATTAATTGATTTCAGTGTTTAAACTTACACGCTGATGTTTTTGTGGACTTAATAAGAAGAATTTATTACCTTTATCTTATTAGTTTACGTTAGTTTGGTCGAACATGGGTATTAGATAAAGTACAAACACAATAAAGACATTTATCAAAGTATTAAAGGGAAAATTATAATGAAAACGCTCCATTCTAGCAGCCTTAAATGAATAAAGGTTTGTACAGATGAATGTGCCTTTTGCATGTATTTATTTGCTGTGCACATACTTCAGTTCAGTTCATCTTTATTCCGAACTCATGGCCCATTTTTAAAACGGAGAAGGAGAGTGACAAAACAAAATGATAAACATTTACGTTTTTAAAAGACAACCACACCAGTGTCTCCGCATACCGTGTTAACATAAGATAATCCTTTATTGTGTCCCATGGGAGAAATTTGTCTTGGGACAGCGGGTAACATGCTTCATCAAAAAACAGGACAACACAACATAAACAAACACCACAGAACAAAAACAGATACGAGACCAAGTATGACCACGAGTGACGCACCAACAGGACCTTTAAATTATTCTTAAAGGTTGTATGGAGGATTTTTTTGTTTTTTTTTGTTTCAAGTTGTCAATGATAGATTATAGAGGTGCAGTAGCCTTGTAATTATGATGACCAAAAAAAAGAGAATAAAAATTCATCAACTCTGGACGTGGTGGGGCTAAACATTTGCCAATAGATAACGACACTGCCTCGTTATCTGTGAGCTGACAGGTTGGGGGGGGGGGGTTTCACGCTGCGCACATTTGAAAAGGACAAACAGTCGCTGGATTTCTCGTTCCTTGGAAAATCCTCTATACAACCTTTAAACTCCATACACCTTCACTAGGATGTCTGGAATTGCCAATCTACTAAGCAAAAGTTGAAAGCTGACTGTTCATTTGAATGCAGGGTTCCCACAGTCATGGAAATCCTGGAAAAGTCATCGAAATTGAAAATGTCATTTTCCAGTCCTGGAAATGTCATGGAATTTTAGTATCTCTTTCACACAACTCCAGTGTTCTGTTAAGTTCTCATGAGGCTGTTATCATTATTTCCAAACTTATGCACCTTTTGTTGAAAAGAGACAACAGTAAATGCACTGACAGGATTTTGAATGTTAAAAAACTATAATCCCAAACCATAAGGTGAGTGGAAAGAGTTAACATTTCATATTTAGCCCTAAAAGTCTGACAAAGTCTGACCAATTCTACACATGCAGGTGCCGTAAAGTCATGAAAAAGTCATGGAAAAGTTATGACATTTTGTCAGTGAAAAAAAGTGTTAACACTGTGAATGTGAACATCTGTGTGTTTTGCAGGTGACCAGGGCAGATGTGGATGTGCAGCCGTACGCCTTCACCACTAAGTCTCTTTTTGTAGGTCACATGGACTACAGATATCTGCGCTGGCAGGTAACTTCACCGTCTCTGCACCATGTCTAACTCCCCCAGCACGAGGAGAATGTTTGTGATGTTTGTTTGTGCGTGTCCTCTGTGTGTTCAGGTAGTGGACACCCCGGGGATCCTGGACCACCCTCTGGAGGAGAGGAACACCATCGAGATGCAGGCCATCACTGCCCTGGCTCACCTGCGCGCCGCTGTGCTCTACGTGATGGATCTGTCCGAGCAGTGCGGACACACACTCAGCCAGCAGGTGGAGCTCTTCAACAACATCCGCCCGCTCTTTGCCAACAAGGTACAAACCCACATCAAAACTAAGTGATCACTTTCACACACTTTACGCATGGAACACAAAAGAACAGCATGTATCCTGTGCTCTTACTGTTTTATAAAAGGTATTACAGTTACACCTGAACCTGTGTTCCAAGTGCCATTGTCTGCAGATAGAGTATATATACTAGTTTCCTCATTCTCTGGCCTGTGTTAAAGCTCAGAACCTCCAGAATTCCCTCCCTGAGCTGCAGAGGATTTATGGATGGGGTTTAGGGAGTGACCGTTCAGATCAGAGTCCTTATAGGTTTAAACCTACTGTATTTCAGCAGTGCAACCTAAATGAGACTCATGTGAGGCTCATTCTGTTTTCTGATTGGGTAATCGGCCTAATTGTAACACAAATAATAATAATAATTGGACATTATATTGTTTTTGTAACTAAGAATGAATCAACAGCTTTAGATTGTTCTCAGTAAAAGCTGTGTTTGATTTGTGCCATGTAAACTCATATCTAGGGACACAGCTCATGTTTATGAAATCTAAAATCAAAAGTTGACACAGTTCCTTTAAAACAGGGGTCAGCAAACTAAGGCCCGTGGGTCAACTCCGGCCCGCCACACCCCTTTGACCGGTCCCCAGCCCCTCTCCCCCCACTACTTGAACTGGCCCTGTGAGGCAATCCTCAAGATTTGTCATGGTCTGTTTAATAACACATGTGCATCTTGTATTTTTTTAAATAAAAAAAACTATATGTTTATGTATTTATATGTATATATAATAATATGAATGTATATTTAAATAATTATATGACGTATTTATATGTGCCACCAAATTTTCATCACCTGACAAGCTCAAAAAGAGACAGTCACGCACAAAGTTCTGTAGTGCAGATAGTGCAATAAATGGAATATCTGTGATATTTCAAATTAAAACAAACAAAGTACTTACTACTTTTGCAAACCACCAGTAAAGATAAACAAATATGTGCCAGGAATTATGTGCTGATATTGTATTGTGTAATTTCTTCTACACGCTGAGGCCTGCTGGTGTCATTTTGGTCTGGGTCATACTGTTATACGGCCAACCCAACCCCGGCTCCCATCACAGTTAGGAGCAATAATGTGACAGCCAGAGAAAAAAGTTTGGTGGCCCCTGCTTTAAAATGTGAAAAGGAATAGTGGGGTTTGTATGACACTTCTTTTTTAATGGAATTTGTATTTTCAGCCTCTCATTGTTGTGGCCAACAAATGTGATGTGAAGAAGATCAGTGAGCTGACAGAGGAAAACCAGGTCAGTCACATGGCTTGATATGAAGTAAACTTCTGGTTTTTGTCAGTGAAAAGTCTTGGTTTGATTCTGAAGAGCCGGTCATAAATCGTCACCAAATGTGTACTTATTAATTAGTTTTGTTTGAACAGAAAATCTTTTCTGACCTGGTGTCTGATGGGATTCCTGTGATCGAGAGCAGCACTCTGACAGAAGAGGGCGTCATGCAGGTCAAGACTGAGGTGACCCACTTTCACTTTATTCTGAATTATTTCCTACTGAATCTATTGTCAGAACCTTCTCACTTCCTCCATGGATCCACAATCTGGTTTCTGTAACTTTGTCGTGGTTGTGTCGCTGACCACAGGCGTGTGACCGGCTCCTGGCTCACCGAGTCGACGCAAAGATGAAGACGAAGAAGGTCCATGACGTGCTGAACCGCCTGCACCTGGCCATGCCCAACAAGAGGGACGAGAAGGTCAGGCCCCACAAGAACTGCACTAGATATTGGAATCAAAATCACTGTTCTAAAATTCCGTTTATTAGTTCATTTTGATATTTCAGTCTTGTGTCAAATATGCTCTCTAAAGCTGAGGCCTATTTTTTCAGGAAAGACCTCCGTTCATCCCAGAGGGGGCGCTCCAGAGGAAGAAGGCCATGGAGGTGGACCAACCCAAACGCAAAACGGTACAGACTCTTTCTACATCCTGACCTGCGCTGGTTTTCACTTCAGTTTAAATAACTTTGTGTTGTATGACCAAACCTGGCTCAGGCTTCTTCTGCTCTCTGCCTGTGGTCATGTTCACTCCTCTACAGTTTCACATGTGACAGGATTTGTGGCAGGGCTCTTTTAGGAGATGTAGACAGTTTGTGTTTCTTCATGAAAGTGCATGTTTTTGTGATTTTGCAGGAGCGCGACTTGGAGCTGGAGATGGGAGACGACTACGTTCTGGATCTGCAGAGTAAGTTTCCCTCTGTCTGTTTGGTACTGCAGGGGGGGTCACGAAGTCTTTTTTTTTTTTTTTTTATACGTCATTTTTGAAGGATGAACTAGTTTTCAGTGGGTTCTGTCTATTCACTCCTTCATCACGTCTCTCTCTCTCTTCATTCCCTCGTCTCTCACTCCCTGTCAAACTGCAAACATGTCGGCGCAGATTTTATTGTTTCTTGTTAAGGTACATGTGAAGACTTCCGTTACGGCTTAACTTTTACACACAGCGTACTACCGCGCATCGGGAAGGGGGTCAGGCTACTCCTCTGTCCAGAGAGCGAACAGGAGAGGAGGGGGGAGTCACGTCTTTCCTCTCGGTCCTCAGGTCAGAATGACGAGAAAAGTTCCATGGCCCTAATCAAGCTCTTGTCCGTGCGCTGTGGCTCCTCTCTCGTTTAATCTGATCTGATCATTAAAAAAGTCACAGTTTGAGCCCATTTTCTGTGATAGTCCAATGAGATTCATTTGATCTTCCAATATTCTGTGTTATTAGGTTCTTTTTTTCAGACCTAGAGTGTTATTTCATACCTGACAGTTTCGACTGCTCACTAGCGTCTTCCTCAGAGTCACGTGATGTTGCTGTGAACGTGTCTGGTCAGCTGATTTAAACAGATTTTGGCGCTGTCTTCCTACCGGTGGAGGCAGGACGACAGCGCCATCTGCAGTCCGACTTCCTCGGGACAGCATCCCAGGTGTGTGAGAGTGTAAAAGCCCCCTCGTCCCGGTTTACAGTCCTGTGGGCACGTTTCTGTATTTCGATTGCTTCTTTAATCCAGCGGCGATGTTTGTTTTCCTCTGTCCCAATGATGTTTGCTCCATCCCAATCCATAACGTGGTTCTGTCTTTTACAATGGTCAGAAATGGCCGATTTGAGTTGTTCCTGTTCTGCTTTGTGTTTTTGTTGCTCGTGTTTCGCCTTCGCTGTTTCCTTCTCGCATTCTGTTCTATGTTCCTTTTTTTCGTGTACTGAACGCCCTCCCCGTTTCCCCGATGTATGTTTTATTGCAGGACATGCAGGGTATTTCGTATATTACATTACATTTATGCTCCGGTTCTATTTTGTCTTTCGGGTGGACGGGTAGTTGTCTGAGTTTTCTGTACGGTTTCACTGGTGTGTTGATATTGACACATATAGAGATATAAACTTGTTTAAATCAGCTGACCAGACACGTCACAGCAACATCACGTGACTCTGAGGAAGACGTTAGTGAGCAGTCGAAACTGTCAGGTATGAAATGACACTCTAGGTCTGAATAAAAGAACCTAATAACATTTTCTGTGATGTCGTTGCTCTGGCCTTGTTGGAGTCACCTTGAGCGCAAAGAGCAGCTTAAACTTCAGGGCTGAATTAGCTTTGGTCAGACTCAGGTTTATTTCTGTCTTTGACCGGTTTGAGGCTTAAGCTGGACATGGAGATAGTTTCAGCTCAGGATTAAGAATGTACTTGTTAATTGAGTTTGATGAAATACCCTCTGGTGTTGAATCTACAATAACAGAGTAGCTGTTTATACATGACACTAGGCCCAATTTAATATAAAAAAAAAACAATTATATGCCATATATATATAGTAGGGGGTCCCCGCTCTAGCTCTTCATCAGTTTGGGGGTCCCTGGTCTGAAAAACGTTGAAGACCCCAGGGTTAGACTATTCCAAAATGAGCACATATAACACGGATCACATAATAAACGTGTCTGTGTCTATGTGTTCCCTCTTCAAAAACATATCTGAAGAGGTTGAAGGTGTCGTCTATGCATGTTTGAGTAATTTTGTGAACTCTCCCCAGACCTTGTCGCTTGACTTTAAAAATGAAACTTGTAAAACATGTCAGTATGTTGTTTTCAGCGAATAGAGCTTTTTAAAAATAATAAACATTGCGATCTAAATATGTTGTATGGGTAATTAATCAATGCCCCCTGTTTAAATCTAACATTCTGCTGGAGAACAATGCACCAAAAATTTAGGCCCACAACAGTCACAAATCCTGCATAGATTAGGGAAGCATACAAAGTCGAGCTATAAGTTAAGATATTGGCTAGTATTCCTCGGTATAAAACAGCCATTGGTCTGAGCTGTCTACAGACTTCAGAAATGTTTTTATTTTGCCGAATGGGGGCAAATGTTAAAATCTGAACCAGGCGGTGTGGACTATTCTAAAAACGTCAGAGAGGGTGGTCCGTTAACTTTATTTCCTCCTGTTTTTGTCTTATATCACGTGGTTGAGGTCATAGTAGTTTGAGTCTTGTTTTCCATTGCCTTGGTCGTTGGTTTCTCGTGACCTCTGACCTCCCTTCTGTTGCGCAGAGTACTGGGACCTGATGAACAGCGAGGAGAAGCAGGACAAGATCCCCGAGGTGTGGGAGGGACACAACATCGCAGACTACATCGACCCAGATATCATGAAGGTACGATTCTGGAGATGCTCACTTAGTTCTTGAGCTTTAGTGGAATATTATACAAGATTAAAATGTACAATATCTAATTAAGACGGTCGTTCTTGTGCTGTTTTGTTCAGAAACTGGAGGATCTGGAGCGGGAGGAGGAGCTGCGAGAGCGCGCCGGAGAGTACGACTCGGACGAGGACAGTGAGGACGAGGAAATGCAGGAGATCCGCGTCCTGGCCAAGCAGATCAAAGACAAGAAACAGTTGATGGTCCTGGAGTCCAAGGAGAAGGACAAGCACGGGCCCCGCATGCCCCGCACAGCCACCAAGGTGAAACATGCCCCTGCACTGTCCCAACATTGTCCCCGCACTGTCCCCGAGGTAAAACATATCCCACATGTCCATAAGACGGAGAGCCTAGTGCAAAAGCCTATACAAGCCCTTTTTAGGTGTCCCAAGTTGTCCACTGGAGGCACTGCCTTCCAGTGGAATCTGGCACGATTAGGCCCTGGTGTTTGTGTTTGTTGCAACTCGGCTCAGGACCAAAACCCTTGTGTGAAATGACTTGAGTCTGTAGGACAGAGTAGGACTGTCAGGGTTAGGGATTTTTTCCTACAGTGCAGTATAGCGGCTCAACAGCGCGGTATGCAATGATATCGCACCCCCCATCCCCCGGAGTTATAAATATTTCCAGCGGAACTGAAAACTCTCTCCGATTATGCACTTTTTGTAGAGGCACATGTACGTTGGTTGTCTTGTGGATATATCGTGTGTAGTGTGGGAGAAGTAACATTTGGCTTTGGAACAAGCGTCACTGCATCTCTCCAGCTGTCACTGTGCTTGAGCACGTGGAGCAGGTGTCCGCAAAGCGCGATCGGGCGACGGCCGCTCTTAACTCTGTGCGGTGCAGAGCTCGACGCCGGTCCTTTCGCCTGCGGTCACCCGAAGGTCTGTTCGGGCGCACCTTGGTCCTGGGTTACTCCTGGGTTATCACGGGCACGGGCGGTAATGGGTGGAATGTTAACAGGTCCGGGCAGGTGCAGGTCTCTAAAAATGGACCCGTGTAGGACTGTGGGTCAGGTCACGTTGGTCACGTGCGGCCAAAGTGCCTAAGAAATCATCCCGAGTTCTCTGCAAACATTTTGTATGTGGAGCGCCAATAAAGTAAAATCCTGATCCCTCGCTCAACCTCACTTACAAATTTAAAGAGTCAACACTAAAGTGAAAGGCACCAGCTGTTCACCAAGAAACACCTTCCACTGCAAAGAGACGTGATGTTGCTGTAAAGTCGAACAAGAAAGTGCAGCTCAGTCTGTTTGTCTTTTGTATCTATCAGTTGACAAAAATAATTTTGTTTTGTTGTTGCTCCACATACAAAATGTTCGCTGCAAACTCGGGATGATTTCTTAGGCAGACAAAGGTTTCCTTTTTGGTTCTTCCTGTGGATCAGTCCTGCCCATCGCCTTCACCTTTCACTATTTTTCAATTCCGTTGGGAAGAGAAACAGTTTGAACGGAGGTTTGCAGTCACACACATCTGATTCACTTTTGCACTTACGGAGTTCGCAAACTTCCGAAGCCCGTTTTCCACTGTTGGAACAACACAACAACCACACAATTACGATGTCCAAATCCCAAAACTAAAATATGACAATATCAGAACCAAAAACAAAAGTGATATGGTTCAAAAGACTTGAAAAGATCGACTTTGACAATAGACGCATCCCACTGGGAAAACAAACATGAAGGTTTGATGCTCACTTTTTTAGAGGATCCTTCCCAGTATGAATTGTGCGATGACCAGAAGTCTGAAATAGGGGATGCATGTATTGTGAGACATGATCAGTGATTTGTTATTTTTTGAAGCATAATTTTGTATTACAGAGTGAAATCTACACTAATTTATATAAGACTTGTAGACTTCACTCTGGTCTACGTCAAGGCGCCCAGAGATGAACCTGAGCTCTGACCCGGTCCCTTGTGTCTCTTGTTCCAGGTGGAGAGGAAGCAGCTGGAGAAGGAGATGGGCTCTCTGGGTCTGGACATGGACGATAAGGACGACGTACGTTTAGAGTTCCACGTGTGAGTCCAGTTGATCTCATGAGAAGACCGCGCGTGACCCTCGTGTGTTTTCTGTCTGTTTTTCAGAGTCACTACGCGCAGCAGGCCCGACGCTCTCGCAGTCTGGTGAAGAAACGCAAACGCGAGGCCTCCGCTCCCCCCACCTCCAGAACCCGCAGCCAGAGCGCGTCCAGACCTCCACGGGACAAGTCTGGACTCAGAGATCCCAAGGTAACTCACTGCAAACACTCAAACAGCACAAGGGTTTTATTAGACCTAAAGAGGGTCAGGTTAAGTCTGTGCAATGAATCACATTTAAAATCACGCTTTCAATTATTGCTAAATTATATTTTCAACATTTTTTTAATCCGCATATAATTTGTTTTTCAAAATAAAACCGAAAATAAGAAAACTAAAAAACATTTTCTTCATTATTTGTCTCCAAAACCAAAATGAAAAAAAAAACGATAACGATTTGTTTTTTTAGTTTAGATTTTGTGTTTAAATAAAAATGGAAAAAACTGATAACGTTTCCTGTTTCTGTGACTTAAACTGCGATGCCGGACTTTTGCGCCATGTACAGCCTGAGACCGAGACTGAGACCAGGACTAGTTGACTCCAGGACTGGGACTGAGACGGGACTAGTTGGCTCCAGGACCGGGGCTGAGACCGGGGCTGAGACCGGGGCTGAGACCGGGGCTGAGACCGGGGCTGAGACCGGGGCTGAGACTGGGGCTGAGACCGGACTAGCTGGCTCCAGGCCCGGGACTGAGATCGGGACCAGTTAGCACGGGGACCGGGACCAGAGCGGTTTAGTTCTGGTTCAGTCCTGGTTCAGTCCTGGTTCAGTCCTGGTTCAGTCCAGGTTCAGTCCAGGTTCAGTCCAGGTGTACTCAAGGTTTAAACCTGGGTCAGTTCTGGTTTAGTCCTGGCTTAGTCCTGGCTTAGTCCTGGCTTAGTCCTGGCTTAGTCCTGGCTTAGTCCTGGCTTAGTCCTGGCTTAGTCCTGGTTCAGTCCTGGTACAGTTCTGGTTTCGTCCCGTTTTAGTCCCGTTTTAGTCCTGTTTTACTCCTGGTTTAGTCCGTATGCAGCGCAAAAGTCCGGCATCATAGTTTAAGTCACGAAAACGGTTGTTAGCCGTTTTTTGTTTTTTTTTCTCATTAAAAACAAGTTACTGAAAGATAAAACCCTCCTCCGTTAGAATATTTCAGCTGTGAGTTTCTTTGGAACTGTTCACCTGCTGCATCTGGGGAGGACGCCATGATAACCGTTTCCCTTTCCCACCAAAATAAATGGCAACACGGGAATATCATTGCACACCTATTAAAAAAAACAGAAACATTCTTACAGTTCTTGTTTTTATTGCACAGTTTTCTCCTTTTTAATGGACGATTCCACTAAAATCAGTGCAGCAGTATGTCATGAGAGTTGGTTCTTCTTGTTTATCTGTCACTCTACGCCAAATTAGTTTCCCCTTTAAAATAAACAACCTTTGTGTGTTTACCTCAGATGATGAAGAAGGCCAAGACCATGATGAAGAACTCTCAGAAGGGCATGAACCGACAGGGAAAGAAGGGCGAGTCCGACCGACACGTGTTTGACCTCAAACCCAAACACCTGCTCGCCGGGAAGAGGAAGTCTGGCAGCACGGACCGCAGATAAACCCCACCTCGACACCTGAGAACATCTATGGACGCCTGTGAACTGTGTGTGCGTGAGCAGAAAGGAAAAGTCTGCTGCAGGAGTTGGCCTGGAACACTGCAGACTAAACAGCTAGAAGGTCTTTATATGTGCTTCTACAGCAATTTATTGTTGTCCTCGTGTAAGACGATCACAAAATGAAAATATGTCCGCAAAAAATGGTCCATGACAAAACAAATGTATACGATGTTGTGACAGGCCTGGTTGAGAGTCTGGATTTCTGGTTCTCTGCCTTATTCTAACATGAAAGATGACTCTCTCGTCAATGAATATAAATATTAAATGGTTGTCATTTTTTTCAGAATGCCTCATATTCTACAAAATATAAAAATATATGAAAATATGTGGTGTGTGTTTTCCTTTATATGTGTGTGTGTGTGTCTGTGTTTGTCACCTTCCACGGTGGTTGGTCTCACCCTCATTCAGCTCGGGTCGTCTACCAGAGGCCTGGGAGCCTGAGAGTTTTGTGCAGTATCTTTGCTGTTCCCAGTACTGCACTTTTCTGGACTGAGATGTCTGATGTTTTTCCCAGTATCTGCAGTAGTCTCTTCTAGTTTGGGGGTTACAGCCCCGAGTGTCCGATCACCACAGGCACCACTGATGCCTTCATTTCCAGGCTCTCTCCAGCTCCTCCTTGAGCCTCTGGTATTTCTCTAGTTTCTCGTGTTCCTTTTTCCTGATATTACCATTGCTTGGTATTGTGATGTACCACCAGGGCTCTGCTCTGTTTCTTGTCCACCACCACTATCTCTGATTGGTCCATCACCATTCTGTCAGTCTGTATCTGGAAGTCCCACAGGATCTTGGCTCGGTCATTCTCCACAACCTTTGGAGGTGTTTCCCACCTTGATCCTGGAGTCTCCAGCCCGTACTCTGCACAGATGTTTCTGTACACTCTGCCCTCCTCTTGGTTATGTCACTCCGTGTTTGTTTCCCTGCAGCATCTTACACCTGCAGTTATGTGCTGGACTGTCTCAAGAGCCTCTTTGCACAGTCTACACCGTGGGTCTTGTCTGGTGTGGTAGATCTGGGCCTCTATTGCTCGAGTGCCCAGGGTCTGCTCCTGAGCAGCCAGGATCAGAGCCTCTGTGCTGTCCTTCAGACCATATNATATATATATATATATATACATATATATATATATATATATATTTTTTTTTTTTTTTTTTTAATCCAAAAGTAACTCACTTGATGAATGAAAAGAGGCCAGGTTTCTTGTATCTTTTATGAATGATTTCGATTTGTTTCTTTGATCAGGGCCCTTTGTACATGAACTTTTTTTTCTGTGCATTTGTTGTGTTTTGTGTGTGTTTGCATCTGGGGTTCTGAAGTATTAATAATAAAAATCAATCAAAATAAAGCTTTTATTTTGATGTTCTACTTCTGCTCGTGCGGCCTCGTGTTCAACTCGGGGGTCATTTGTCTCCTGCGCGTCTCTGTCTCAGATTCTGCTCAGCGTGAGGGACAATCTGTGAATTGGTGGATTTTTCTGATTCCAAACCGCATCTTCCTGAACGGTGAGTTACTGAGCAGGTATCGGTGTACTGTTTTTGTGATTAGTGCTCGTTGTTATGTAGCTAAAAGCACGTATCCAGTTATAACAAAATATGTATTACTGCACTATGAAAAAAAAAAAAAAAAAACACTTTTTACAGCAAGTTCCACAAATGGGATGTAGAGGCACATTTAAAAACATAAACCTCAACAATTCAAAGGGAGATCAGTGATATCTTAACTTTAAATCTCATTAGTTAACAAAACAAGAAGCAAAATATGTACAGTATAAACAAAGTTTATTTAAATCATTAGAAGTTTTAGGACATGAGTAATTATTATTAACAATATAGGACTTGTAATGCTTTCAATCTTCAGTCTTTGCAAAGAACTACAAATAGTTCATAGTTTATGTTAAGTGAAGTGAATTATAAACCATATGAGTAAAAGCATGGATAGATGAAATGAGTGTTAACCAGGCTGGCACCATCTAGTGCCTCTGCTCAATTTCATTTCTCTCCAGTGACTAGGTCAGAAATCAGAATACACTAGACAGTTCGCAAAAACCCCGGAAGTTGTAGACCGCACACCAGCCAATCAGTGAAGAGCTGTGAAGTCATGACGTCAAACTCCTCGTGCCTGTCTGGGTCCCTTTTGTGGAACAGCACAACAGTAAACAAAGCGTCGAGATGGATGTAGACAAAGACAGACATTCTGTGTTGGCGACGATTCCCGAGATCGAGGATTTAAAGCCGGAACAAAGAGAATGTTTGGTGAATTTTATCAAGGGGAAAGATGTTATTGCCCTTCTTCCTACGGGAGTTGGCGCATTACATACGTCACGACCAAATAACAGTGAAAAAAAAAAGTGTCCGCCTACCGTTGAGCGACCAAATCCTAAATCCTGCTGCGAGGTCAGACGGTTTCCACAAAGTGAAACCAGCTGATGAATCTAAATCATGTGTAGCCATATACCAAATTGCTCCACTTCAGTGCAGACTACAAGAAGAAATAACAGTTCTAAGCACTTTTAAGCCTTAATTCTTTGGATTAAGTCTTTTTAAGGCATTTTAAGAGGAAAAAGTAGCATATTAACAGTTTTAGCTGTTTAGCCTCCAGAAAATATCGCAATAAATATCGTATCATGAGACTTGGATATCGTTACACCCCTAATGATTTACTAGATGTGATTTTATGTGTATTTATTATAATTATTTTGACACTTCCTTTCTTTTGTTCTAATGCAGAGATACAAGATCCACCAACAGAATGCCGCACACATGTGACCAGTGTGGAAAAGTGTATGCAAAACCTGCCAGACTGAAACAACACTACAGAACTCACACGGGGGAAAGACCGAACAGTTGTGACCAGTGTGGGAAGAAATTTACAGAATCTCGTTCCTGCAAACGACACATGAGAGTCCACACAGGGGAAAAAGCGTTTAGATGTGACATTTGTGAGAAGACCTTTTCACAGTCGGGCTCCTTAGCAACACACATGGGCATCCACACGGGAGAGAAGCCATATCAGTGTGACCAGTGTGGGAAGGAATTTAGAGTTTCTAGCAGCTTCTATCGACACATGAGAATCCACAGAGCAGAGAAACCATTTGAATGTGAGCAGTGTGGGAAGAAATTTACAGAGTCTGGTCATCTCCGTCTGCACTTGAGAATCCACACAGGAGTGAAACCGTTTAAATGTGAACACTGTGGGAAGGCATTCTGCGACTCCTCTGCTCGTCGTAACCATGAGAAGATCCACACAGGGGAAAAATCGTACAGATGTGATGTGTGTGACAGGGCATTTTCACAGTTGGGCACCCTAGAAGCGCACAGGAGAATCCACACAGGAGAGAAACCGTTCAGATGTGACAAGTGTGGGAACGCTTTCTCTCAATTAGCAAGTTTTAATAGACACATGAGAACTCACTACTGGCACAGACTGTACGAGTGTGACCAGTGTGGAAAGGTCTTTAAAACGTCCCAGGAACTCTCCGGTCACTACCGAACGCACACGGGAGACGAAGCAGGTGACCGTGAAGGAGGGAAGGCTTTGAAGTCCATGAGGAAACATCTGAAACAAGAGAAAAGCTGCAGCTTTGACCAGTGTGGGCCTAAAGTCAGACTCAGAAAGTTAGAGATCAGGCTTCAGAGACTCCAGACTGTGAACTGAGCTCTTTGTAATGTCAAAAATTAAGCCTAAAATGAGATGTAAAGATTTTTTTATTATTATTATCAGAAAGAGGGTTTAGTTGAAGTTCCTCCATCTTATTCTTCATTGTTTTTTGTTTGAGTAAGCCTGATCATATTCGATTCTATTAAAGGTGTATGGAGTTTAAAAACACAGCGGCGCACTTCCTGTATTACCCCTCTCTTTTTCTCGTTCCACAAGAGTCTTCAGATGCACCTCCACCCACATGTCCCTCACCATTTTCATTAGTTGTAGTTTGTTTCATTTTTTGCACTTATTAGCTCTTCAAAGATTGAATCCCCGAAACATTTCTAAAAGTGTCCTAATTTGAAATTAAAAATCTTACTTGCATAAATAGATAAACATTCAAATTCATGCACTAAATTTTTTCTTGTGAATAACGATACAGAAAACCTGGGGCGGGGGGCAGTGTTTGGAGTAACGCGTTATAAAAGTAACGAATTACTGTAATGCTTTGCTTTTTGCTGTAACGCAGTAATGTAAGGCATTACAGGGGGAAAAAATAGTCATATTTTACCCGGTACAAATGTGAGTAACGTCACAATGTTTTTTTAACCTGGATTGAAGTGGTGTTTTTTTCTTCATACAAATTCGTTAAAATCACCTCGATATCAGCAGCGGTGAAACGCCGGAGGTGCGCCCCCGTAGATCTTCAGGTAACCGCGGGCGAAAGGACCGACAAAGAACTCCACGCTGTTTAGACCTGGTTTAGACCTGGGTCAGTTCTGGTTTAGACCTGGTTTACACTTGTCCCTCGCTCTATCGCAGTTCACTTTTCGCGGTCTCGCTGTTTCGTAGATTATTTTTGTGCAATTTTGCATGCCTTGTTGTTTTTACAGTGTATGAATGCGTATTGCGTTCCTCCCGCTGCGTCCTGACTGGCCAAGGGACTCCTGTCTCTACAGTGCAGAATGTGTTCAGATGCCAAATTTAAATACATGTTCAGTCTCTAGCAGTGTGATTCTGAAGTGCTGTACGGTTGCAAGTTTTCTCCCTGACGAAACCCACAACGTCGACGAAACGTTCTGCACCGACAAAGTCTCCTGCACTCGCACCCAAAAGACAGAGGAAGATGCAACCATCGCACAAAAAGTTGGACTTCTGGACACACTGAAGGAAGGTAGAAGTTACGCGCTGTAACAGAGTCTTGTACCTGCAAATAGTTGCTGAAATCAGGGCCGCGCGAGCCCGAGCAGCAGGGTGTCCATAAAGAGCGATCGGGTTTAGTCCTGGTTCAGTACTGGTTCAGTCCATATACAGCGCAAAAGTTCAGCATCTTCGCAGTTATTTTTGGTGAGAGTAACGTAAAGTAATGCAATAGTAATGTAATGCCTTACATTTTAAATGCAGTAATATTGTAATGTAACAAATTACTTTCAAATGACAGTATTAAGTAATAAATAACGCATTACAGTTTTAAAGTAACTTGCCCAACAGTGGCGGGGGGATGAGCAATAGTCGGACTTTCATAGTTCCTGGTCTGTGATGCCTCCAAGAAATCAGTAACATTTCATAACTATTGTGTAATGGATGTTCCAAAACCCAAATTGTGCTTGTTTATGTGCAGAAGATACAATGTGAAAAGTTATTTTGCATGAGATGGGCCCTTTAACTACTAACATATAATACAAAACATGTCATGTACAAATGTGTTTAAATCGTTGGAAGTCCAGTAATGAACAATTATCATTTAGAATCAAACTTGACACGTTTCCTTTTAGTAACAGGTTTTTTGTTTTTGTTTTTTTATTAGGTTTAGTAGAGAAACACTTGTAGAGAAGGTACCACCGGTGAACTGATTAGGTTTATTATTTCTTACATATGTACAGATTCAATTTACATACATAAATTTTAAAAAACAAAACAGATTGAAGTCAAATTTGGAGACAAAAAATAACAATTAGGTGATTCAACAAATGTGATTTGTAACAGAGAATATGAACAGAACAGATGAACAGGATTACACATTTCAAAATACAATATATTTTTGAAGAAAATATAGACAATAAACTAATACTTAAACTAATTCATGCCACTAACCTAACTCCAAAAACTTAAAAATGTAAAATAAAGTGGCAAAAACACAAACTGCAATGAATAAAAAGCAAAGTTAAATTATTTGAAGCCAGGATCTAGATTTTTTTTTAATGAACAAAATAGTGGAAAACCAGCAGAATCATGTAAAGCGGCTTAATATGAACTTTTTAAAACCAAAATCATGAGGCTCACAGCAGCAGGTACAGAGACAGGGGCCCCAATATTCCAACGTAAATCAACAGGAGCCGGGGTCAGCAGGAGCCGGACGAGCCGCACGGGAACTTCCTGTTTGGAACGCGGCGGCTAGAGCGTGAGCTGTGACAATTTATAAATGCGGTCTGTTGTGTGTCCTCATATGCAGTCTGAGAGTCGATTTATGAGAAAACGCTTTGTTACAGACTGAACAGCCGAATGGTATCTCCCCTGTGTGTGTCCTCATGTGTGTTTTGAGATGAGAGGATGTAGCAAACACTTTTTTACAGACTGAACAGCTGAACGGTTTCTCCCCTGTGTGTGTCCTTTTATGTTTTTTTAAACTAGAACTATCAGCAAACGCTTTGTTACAGACTGAACAGCTGAACGGTTTCTCCCCTGTGTGTGTCCTCATGTGTGTTTTGAGATGAGAGGACTTGTAGCAAACACTTTTTTACAGACTGAACAGCTGAACGGTTTCTCCCCTGTGTGTGTCCTTTTATGTTTTTTTAAACTAGAACTATCAGCAAACGCTTTGTTACAGACTGAACAGCTGAACGGTTTCTCCCCTGTGTGTGTCCTTTTATGTTTTTTTAAACTAGAACTATCAGCAAACGCTTTGTTACAGACTGAACAGCCTGAACGGTTTTTCTCCCCTGTTGTGTCCTTTTATGTTTTTTTAAACTAGAACTATCAGCAAACGCTTTGTTACAGACTGAACAGCTGAACGGTTTCTCCCCTGTGTGTGTCCTCATGTGTGTTTTGAGATGAGAGGCTTTAGCAAACGCTTTCTTACAGACTGAACAGCCGAACGGTTTCTCCCCCTGTGTGTGTCCTTTTATGACTTTTTAAACTAAGAACTATCAGCAAACGCTTTCTTACAGACTGAACAGCCGAACGGTTTCTCCCCGTGTGTGTCCTTTTATGTTTTTTTAAACTAGAACTATCAGCAAACGCTTTGTTACAGACTGAACAGCTGAACGGTTTCTCCCCTGTGTGTGTCCTCATATGCAGTGTGAGTCTAAATTTTGCAGTAAACTCTTTCTTACAGACTGAACAGCTGAACGGTTTCTCCCCTGTGTGTGTCCTCATGTGTGTTTTGAGATGAGAGGCTTTAGCAAACGCTTTCTTACAGACTGAACAGCCGAACGGTTTCTCCCCCGTGTGTGTCCTTTTATGACTTTTTAAACCAGAACTATCAGCAAACACTTTCTTACAGACTGAACAGCCGAACGGTTTCTCCCCTGTGTGTGTCCTCATGTGTGTTTTGAGATTACATTTTGTAGCAAACTCTTTCTTACAGACTGAACAGCCAAACGGTTTCTCCCCTGTGTGTGTCCTCATATGCAGTGTGAGACTAAGTTTTACAGTAAACTCTTTCTTACAGACTGAACAGCTGAAAGGTTCCTCTCCTGTGTGAACTCTGCGGTGTATTTGTAGTTTATATTTAGACCCAAATCTCTCTTTACAAACAGAACACTTGTGTTTCTTGCCCTCAGCTCCTTCTCCGGTTCCTGTCGTGTCTCCAGTATTCACGGTGGCTCTGGTCTCTGGCGCAGACTCGTCTTCGTCAGACCCTGTGTCCATGTGTGAACGGCTGGGTGGAGCTCTCCAGTCTTCATCACTGTCAGTGTCAGAAGAGTGCTCTGTCTCTCCTTCAGTCTCTCTCTTCAGTCTCTCCTTCAGTCTCTCCTTCAGTCTCTCTTCAGTCTCTGGTCTGATGTCCTCCTTCTGTGCGTCCTCACTGTGGACATGTGGCTCTGCTTTGACGTCCTCTCTCTGCTCAGTTTCTCTTTGTTGAAGCTGCGACGACTCTTCTGTCTTCACACTCACAGCACCAAACTCTGGCACAGACCTGAAAAATAAGACACATTTGTATATTTTAGACCCAATCTGAATATTTGTAATAGAAATGAATAAGAATCAAAGAATAACCAAATAAAAAATTGCAGTTTGAAAGTGTCTGAGACTCACACTTGCAGCTGTTCCTCCTCCTGTCTGATGTTTTGTTCTTGTTTAATGTTTGGAGTCACATCAGGGCTCAGAGAGGGGGGCTGGACAGCTGCAGGAGACAAGAGAATACACACTTATATATACACATGCAGTCTTGTGGCACGAACATTGAGTGCGTACACATGCACATCATTATTCCGGTTATGTAAAACGCAGTATCCCGGTTATGGCAGTATCTCGGTTATTAGAAACCGGGATACTGTAGCTGGTTTATTCTGATAGTAACCGGGATACTGTGGCATGTAAAAGCAGTATCCCGGTTACTGCAACATAAAGTTGAGTGCGCAAGTGTCCAAACGACAAACACTTTCCAGTCTTTTCACCTCAACAGTAGCAACATAAATAAAGTGACCAATATAAATAAAGTGACCAACATAAATAAATTGACCAACATAAATAAAGTGACCATACATGAGTGAAATGTCTGTAAAATAAAGAGCTGCGCTAAACCTGCACATGTACAATCTGCACTTGTACGACCTGCACTCGTGTGATCGCTGAAAAGCTAAAACATGAACTATCTCCAACACGATACACGCACAGAACAGACTTACAATCATTAGCGACTCTTTTGTCACAAAAAGAACACACATAATCCACCGAGTCGTGTCTTTTAGTCCGAAAGAAGCTGAATCACATCATCGGCACAAGGAGCGAACTGTTTTTATCGCCGCTAACAGTTTATGCTAATTAGCCATGCAGACCTTAGTTTCGTCTCTGTAAAATGTAAACAAATGAGATCAGAGCTGAATTATATTATCAAACGGGCTGATGTGGCTCTATATTGGTTATGGTTTATATGTTGTAAAGTTGAGTTTATTTATGCAGAAGATTTTAATGTGGGGTTTAATTGTGAGAATCTAGTAGCTCTTTAAACCTCCCGAGTTTCCTCTGCTAAAGGAGCTCATGGTTTGTATTTTTCCTGGTTTACTAAATGGATTAATGGTTAATTTTTCTGTCCATGAAGTTGTAAATATGTTTTCGTCAATATTTGAAGTCGTACTGGTTCTTCTGCCGTTATATCCACGGTGCACGTTTCTAACGCGCTGTTTTCTACATCAGATGCGTTTTTCACACTTTTTTACAGACTGAACAGCTGAACGGTTTCTCCCCTGTGTGTGTCCTCATGTGTGTTTTGAGATTACATTTTGTAGCAAACTCTTTCTTACAGACTGAACAGCTGAAAGGTTCCTCTCCTGTGTGAACTCTGCGGTGTATTTGTAGTTTATATTTAGACCCAAATCTCTCTTTACAAACAGAACACTTGTGTTTCTTGCCCTCAGCTCCTTCTCCGGTTCCTGTCGTGTCTCCAGTATTCACGGTGGCTCTGGTCTCTGGCGCAGACTCGTCTTCGTCAGACCCTGTGTCCATGTGTGAACGGCTGGGTGGAGCTCTCCAGTCTTCATCACTGTCAGTGTCAGAAGAGTGCTCTGTCTCTCCTTCAGTCTCTCCTTCAGTCTCTCCTTCAGTCTCTGGTCTGATGTCCTCCTTCTGTGCGTCCTCACTGTGGACATGTGGCTCTGCTTTGACGTCCTCTCTCTGCTCAGTTTCTCTTTGTTGAAGCTGCGACGACTCTTCTGTCTTCACACTCACAGCACCAAACTCTGGCACAGACCTGAAAAATAAGACACATTTGTATATTTTAGACCCAATCTGAATATTTGTAATAGAAATGAATAAGAATCAAAGAATAACCAAATAAAAAATTGCAGTTTGAAAGTGTCTGAGACTCACACTTGCAGCTGTTCCTCCTCCTGTCTGATGTTTTGTTCTTGTTTAATGTTTGGAGTCACATCAGGGCTCAGAGAGGGGGGCTGGACAGCTGCAGGAGACAAGAGAATACACACTTATATATACACATGCAGTCTTGTGGCACGAACATTGAGTGCGTACACATGCACATCATTATTCCGGTTATGTAAAACGCAGTATCCCGGTTATGGCAGTATCTCGGTTATTAGAAACCGGGATACTGTAGCTGGTTTATTCTGATAGTAACCGGGATACTGTGGCATGTAAAAGCAGTATCCCGGTTACTGCAACATAAAGTTGAGTGCGCAAGTGTCCAAACGACAAACACTTTCCAGTCTTTTCACCTCAACAGTAGCAACATAAATAAAGTGACCAATATAAATAAAGTGACCAACATAAATAAATTGACCAACATAAATAAAGTGACCATACATGAGTGAAATGTCTGTAAAATAAAGAGCTGCGCTAAACCTGCACATGTACAATCTGCACTTGTACGACCTGCACTCGTGTGATCGCTGAAAAGCTAAAACATGAACTATCTCCAACACGATACACGCACAGAACAGACTTACAATCATTAGCGACTCTTTTGTCACAAAAAGAACACACATAATCCACCGAGTCGTGTCTTTTAGTCCGAAAGAAGCTGAATCACATCATCGGCACAAGGAGCGAACTGTTTTTATCGCCGCTAACAGTTTATGCTAATTAGCCATGCAGACCTTAGTTTCGTCTCTGTAAAATGTAAACAAATGAGATCAGAGCTGAATTATATTATCAAACGGGCTGATGTGGCTCTATATTGGTTATGGTTTATATGTTGTAAAGTTGAGTTTATTTATGCAGAAGATTTTAATGTGGGGTTTAATTGTGGGAATCTAGTAGCTCTTTAAACCTCCCGAGTTTCCTCTGCTAAAGGAGCTCATGGTTTGTATTTTTCCTGGTTTACTAGATGGATTTAAGTTAATTTTTCTGTCCATGAAGTTATAAGAAATATGTTTTAGTCAATATTTGAAGTCGTACTGGTTCTTCTGCCGTTATATCCACGGTGCACGTTTCTAACGCGCTGTTTTCTACATCAGATGCGTTTTTCACACTTTTTTAACAACCATGGACAAAAAATAGGATCCATATTTAGACTGACCGGCCGTGACGAGCAGGACCCTCGGGCTCAGGGCGCTCAGAGCCGAGTCCAAGAGCCGCTGTAGCCGCTGGTTCTCCCGTTTGACGCGGCGCAGCTCCTCCTCAAAGTCCGCTACTGTGTCCTCAAACAGCGCACGTATGTCCTGGGCCCTCGCACTGAGCCGCTCCTCCACACTCGCTCTCCACCCTGCGGACATGTCTGGTTGTTTTTTCACCGGTGTCTCGGCTCTGCTCCTCGGGTCCCGGTGGCGGTACGTGGGCGGGGATCAGAGCTGCGGTTGGTCAAATGTTTGTGTCCAACGGTCCGCGCGCGCTGCTGCTGTTCTGCTTCAAACTTGAAAATAAACCAACTGTTGTTTCTGTTCGTGTTTAGTTTGGATCTTTTAGCCCAATCTGAGACTTCAGCTGATTGTACTGACAAAATGTTCACTTTCACATCAAAAATAAAGTGAGTTTTTAGTACTAACTTAACTTAACTAGCTAACTAGCTTATATAGCACATCCATCCACTGGTCGTCCGTGGTACTGCAGTAGAGAAGCTTAGCTCACACTTTTATTGACACAGCCAGAGCATGATATGTATATGTATATGTATATGTATATATATTCTCAACAACCTTTTGAGGTGTTGGAGAATGGTGGTGGACATCGCAATACCAAGCGATGGTAATATCAGGAAAAAGGAACACGAGAAACTAGAGAAATACCAGGGGCTCAAGGAGGAGCTGGAGAGAGCCTGGAAAGTGAAGGCAACAGTGGTGCCTGTGGTGATCGGACACTCGGGGCTGTAACCCTGAAACTGGAAGAGACGACAACAGATACCGGGAAAAAGCAACGGACAACTCAGTCCAGAAAAGTGCAGTACTGGGAACAGCAAAGATACTGCGCGCAGAACTCTCAAGCTCCCAGGCCTTCTGGTAGACGACCCGAGCTGAATGAGGGTGAGAGAGACCTACCACCGTGGAAGGTGAGAAACACATTTATATATATATATATGTATATATATATATATATATATATATATATATATATATATATATATATATATATATATATATATATATATATATATATATATATATATATAACCTTCTGGTTCTATCTGGGAAAACTGCTGAAAATCCCCATAAAACTTATTTACATATGTCCAAATGATGTCCTCACTCAGACCAGATTTATTGGTCTGATCTTATTGGTCCTCAAGGCATCATTTAGCAGAAGCCAAATTATAAACCAGCAGCACTTAAGCTCAAACAAAAGTCTCAGAGCAGCTCAACTGGTCAAATCATCAGATCCAGCATCACCGCTGTTTTTCTTTACAGTTTACAGCAAATATAATAGATTCTACCATAACCAGACCAAACTCATCACCGCTGTCTGTAGGATCTGGTTCACCTTTACATAAAATACATTCACAGCGCACACACAGATGTGTGTGTGCCACAGACACAGATGTTTTAAATTACCTTGGTTAGTGTTAGTGAGGGCAATGTTGAAGAGATGAGCAGACAAACCGTGTCATTTTTATTTAACGATACGTCACTTTATTCGATTTTTTGATTGTTTTGACAGTAATAAGTTGTATAATTCTATCATCCTTGTTCTGTCATTACATAGTTCAGTTCATAATCATTCATTTAACATTTATTTTTTAAAAGCAAAACAAAAAGAAAAGGACGGACATGTAAAATCAGAGGTGGGTAGTGGTCCAAGAAATTACTCAATGGCAAAATGGTAT